GGGGGGCGCCTACTGCTACTACTACTGCTACTACGACTACTACTACGACGACGACGACTACTACTACTACGAACGACCACCACCACCACCACCACCACAACCACCACTACTTCTACCACCACCACCACCACGACGACTACTACTGCTACAGCTACTGTCTTTACCACTACCACGATCACGACGAGGAGGACGACGACGACCACAGCTGCCTTTGCTTTCGGTGCCTCCTCTGCTTCCGCTGCGGCTGCTAGTGCTTCAACGGCACTGCCAACGGCTAATGTGTCAATGCTACTAAGTCCGAAGAAAAATGTGGCCATGCAGACTGCGCTTTATAAGTCGTGCATCAGACATCACTGCTCACCCTCCCCAATCAAACTACGTAGTTGGACTTGGGGACATCTTTCGTTCTCCGCCTTTCGTGTGAGTAGAGAGATATCTACGAGAAAATGGCAACCCAGGGCAATTGGAGCCCTGTTAGTCATGTTGTCAGTCGATAGATAGAAGTCTGCATGTCCGTTGTCGCTGAACCTCAGGCAGCAATTTCACCCATGGTTCACATACACCTGCCTGCGTGCATAGCCCCGCGAATCGCCATGTCAGGCATAGGGTCGCTGCTTGCGGTCCAGGGCAGACTCCTCTTGAGCTGATAACTTGACGGGTTCTTTCACGCAGTTTTAGCTCAGAGCTGGCTAACATTTCTCTACTGTGTAAATAGGTCTAAGGCAGGACGCAGGGAAGGCTCGCAAATGAAACGGCCGGTGCCATTGCTTCCGACCTTAGGACGACCCGAGGCGCTGGGGGCGGGCCTGCTCTTCCTAGGGAAGCCGGCATCATGCGCTGACTGCGGTGCTCTGATGTTCGCTTGTTCTAGTGGTGGGATGTAGCGGTTGTAGCGTCGTCGTGAAGAGATTGTTCTTGTTCTTGCTGTCGTTTCGGCTGATGCTAGCCGCGTTGATGGTGTTGACTTGTTAACTTGTGAGCAGATTGTTGCGGCTGCTGGTGCTTGAGATGATGTCAGTGGTGATGTTGGTGATCGTTGCTCCCAGTGGCTCATACTTTACTATGACGTATTCTTCTTCAGGTGGCTGTGGTTGTAGCAGTTGCTGCTGCTTCTGGAGATGAGGGTGGTGGTGGAGGTTGTGGTGGCGGTGGTGGTGTTCTTTGTGATTGCAAGGATTATGCTGGTTCTGTTGGTGTTGATGATGATGGTGATGGTGATGGTGATGGTGGTGGTGGTGGTGGTGCTGCTGCTGCTGCTGATGATGATGATGATGATGATGATGGCGGCGATGACGTTGTCGTGGCTGCTGTTGTTCCTGGTAGTGGTGGCTACTTTCCCAGTCCAACGAGCACCCACAGGACATGCCGATTGAAACAGCTCCTAAACCTTAAAACCCAGCATAGGTGGTTGCGGTCTCTTCGCAACAAAGGACGTGTGACTACACCCTATACTACCCTATACCGAAGTCTTCGTTTGGAAGTCAGCGCTGCCGGATGTCCCAAGTGATGGGCACTGCCCCCTGATCGTTGACTGGGCTCTGCCAGAGAGGAGGGTTTAGGCTTTGGGGCTTAGTTTGTACTTTTGAGCTGCTACGACAACTCCGACTGTCCCCTCGCAGGTCTGGTCAAGGAAGCTGAGTTTAAGCTTGTAGGCTGTGAACTGTAGTGGTCTTTGTTGAATGTGGGGGGGCTTTAGCCAGGTGGTTCTGAATGTGCGAGGCAAGGAAATCACGACATGAGCCTGCACTTCCTTCGAAAGGCAAGACCCAGGGCAGAGGCTCCCTTGTCACAAGATGTGGACGGGGAAGGAAGCTGATTGCCGAGGCTTTGTTGCAGGTCAGATGGGGCTTCGGGTCTGGAGTGCTAGGTTCCTAGAGCGTGTGGTAAGTCCGACTCTGAGCATGAGTCGACCTTGGCCGTTTCTAAAGACTGCGCAAGATCTTGAGCAAACACGCCCGACGAATTCATTACCACGGGTGCACGCCTGTGAGACTTCTATACTGTCTGCCCAGCATCCTCAGTGACTGTTCTGCTGTGCTAGATCCTAACCCTACAGCCTAACCAGAAGATTCTGGCCATCGGGCCATTCTCCGTCTCTTGTGGATGTCCAGCAGACAGCTGTCTCATGCGCTTGCCAAGTGGACTAGCTTTGGCCGAGCCTGCGAAGGCCTTTCACTTCCTGTGCGTACTATCTCAATGCACCAGAAAGAAGTGCAGGCATCTCTCAGGCACGGGTCCGTCGCACTGCTGGGCGATGATAATCCTGGCCCGAGGCCTTGTCAGAGAATTCGATAGATTCAGATAGATAATGTAGAGGCCTGATACATTGGAGTAGGGTTTTGGGGTGTGTTGATATAGAGATTGTACTTATAACGATGGCTACAAGAGGATTTATTTTTGCTGCTTATCTCGTGTATCAGACGTTTGCGGCCTTCATCGCGGGGTGATTTTTTTCGCATCAAGCTCGCTCCTTGTAGGGTGCCCTAGCCAGCTCCCAGGACGAAGGTGATATCCCTCATCATGGTACATAGGTCATAGCGCATGCGAAATATAAGCTGAATGCTGCACGGAGGGTCAGTAGCACTCGGCACTTGGAACCCCTTTCAGCTCAATGTTTGACGCCTCTGCAGCCACTGCCTCCGCTGCCGCTGGTGTCGCAAGTCAAGGAAGTGGCATGTAGGGCGAATGGCAGTGCACCGTCTGCTGGGTTCCGCTTGATTTTATTCTTCCGATATATCTTTTTGCGGCCCAGCTTTGCCATCACTGAGAACATACATGTCAGCTTAAATCACAGCCCAAACGAATCCGACAGCCGCCGTGCACGTCGAGACAGGGCAGGTGCTGGAAGGCTCAAGCTTTTGCGTGGCAAAGCACACATGGCATAAGCGTTGTGCACCCTTGCTGAAGCCCAGTGCCTGTTTTCATGGCCGTTGGGCCTTGCAAGTCTGCTGCTCTGCTGCAGGCTTGCTGAGGATGGATCTGGCGATGGTCTTCATGCAGCTACGAGGCAGGGAGGCCGGCCCGTGGCGACGGCAGGATGATGATTTCGATCAGCTCAGGGCTCAGGGCCGGGTGTCATGCCGAGTTCAGCAGAAGTCCCGCGACTATGGGCTGTAGAGAGCACAGGCAGAACTATGTGACTTGAGCAGCGAAGATCTGCACACATGGTCGTCTGAAGGCTTATAAAGCATGATACAGATAGGATGCATTCACGGACGGAGTCGTGCGCATGAGAAATGGCCTCTTAGAAGCGCTGAAGTTCTGAAGGATGAGAAAGGCTTCGGTTGACGGAAACATCAAGCCAGGACTCCCACGCATGAAAATCCAGAGAGCCCTCCCCGACAGAGACTTTGTGAGATGTTTCGGCCATGTCTTCTGTGGGGATTGGCCTCCAGCTGGACAGCTACGGGGGAGTTCCTGGGCTGCAGTTCGGGCTCCTGGAGACTGTTGGTTGAAGATGCAGACACTGAAGCGCTTGAATTGCGATGCCAGCTTAAACTGAGCTCCTGAAGCAAGAACCTAGGATAGACATTGATGAGTTCAAGTCCTTTGAGAAGCCAGATCTTCCAGCCTTTCTGGACTATGACTGCGATTTGGTCGGCACGAAGCCTGGCGCCGTGGTCGATTGGAATTTGGTGTACCAGCGAGTTGAGTCCAGCTTCTCGCGCTTGAGCCCGCTGAAATCTAACTTTTCCTTCCCGGAAGAGTTCAAGCATCTGGTGGTGGACTCGGGTCCTCGCAGGTCTGCCGATCCCTCGAGGAGGGCCCTGGAGGAATGCCCGCTTGGCGCGATGTACCTGCGGCTGCTGTACTACTACCAAGGGCTCACGATCAACAATCTTTGGCACCAGGAGGTCGAGCAGGACATTAGTCCTCCCGGGACGTCTAGTGGCTGTAGCATAACATCTTTGGAAGAGTCTGTTTTCACATTCGCGTGCTCACCTAAACCCTAAAGGCCCTAAACTTAAACCCTAGACCCTAAACCCACCCAACCCCCCCGCCCATCTGCGCATCAAATTTCAATGATCGGCGGTGTTCAAGGTTTAGGGTTGCGAGTTCCGAGGTTTTAATTCTAGGGCTCAACCAGGAGATCCAGCTCGTCTTGGCCACCTATCCCACCTACGCTTTAGCACTCACTCGCTGGCCCATTTTCCCGGTGCTTGCGCACTTCTCCCACGTCCACCGCCTTCCCTTGGAGGCGCGAGGGCTTTGGGACTCGGGTTTGGTGATCGGGGCCACAGTTTTTGGCAGGAATCAGCACTTTCAAGTGGCTCGGACACGAGGCACTGAGAACGGAGGAACTGTGCATGACCGGCTTTGTAGCGCTTAGGGAATTTTCCGCGCTGATCTTGGCCGATAACTTAACTTGCTGTAGTAGCAACGCAACGGTACGTGTGGTCGGCAGCAGCAACAGCAATAGTCGGGGCAGTATGAGCAGCAGTCTTGGGAATTGTACTGTGCTAGTCGTGCAACTAGTTGTGAAGATCAGGTGTGGCAGGGGCAACACCTCCCTGACCGGTCAGGTGGTGATGTGCGACGATGTGAAGGGTGTTGTTGACTGGGGCCAGTGCCGCAAAGACGGTGCCTGCTACCTCTGAATGGCACGGAGTTTGTGTTTTTGGCCCGGCACCCTCAATCCCTGCCTCTCCTGCCCGAGCGTGAAGAAGCAGTTTGAGAGACTAGACCCTGGAGCCCAGGCATGCGCTGGATCGACCTGGTGTATACAGATGAGGAGTCGAAGCTCCCGGCCCACGACGAGACGATGCTCGAGTTGCAGGTCGTTGTCTCCCAGTATCTTTACACCATCCTGCGCTGGAAGGAAAACCAGCTGAAGGCCTCGGAAGAGTGCCCCTTTGGGTTTTTCTTCTTGGCAGCGACACAGCTCGTGGCTGCGGCGGGCAAGAGCACACAGCACTTGCCTCCTTTCGGGAAGATCATGGACCAGGTGGGGTATTCTTCTCAAGCAGGAGCTTTCCCCAAAAGCCCACTTTAAGAAAGATGCTCCTGAGGTGGTGGGTGCGTTACAGTTCGGCAGGGTGAGCAGCTCGCCCTGGCCGGTTTGGCACGTGTTGGCCATTTTCGCAGATTTCAACAAGGCAAATTGGTATTGGGGCGGTGATCGGAAATATCTCCGTGGATACAGCGACTGGAACCTGCGAAGTGATGAACTCTCCCCGCTGGTGTCTCCCCGCAACGCCTTTCTGTCACCCGGCTGGAAGGAAGAGGCCGTCGAGAAGGTCGATTCACTGGTGCAGCTGCGTCACATCAAGTTCGTGGAAGCTCTGAGCACGCGGAGTCGGATTCAGGAGGATGGCTGGGGACCAATGAGGCCCATTGTCAGGAGCTTGGTTGGTGCAGCTCAGGCTGTGGCGGCGGTGTCGGAACGACAAGGACTCAAGCGGCGGCTTGCATATGTGGTGCTGCTGTACGGTGGGAAGTGGGCATACCTTTTGGAACGGCTTGCGCGCCATCTCTTTCACCTGAATGTCCTGCATCCTCTGCTGGTGATCGCCATAGGTGAAGATGCCGCGAGCACTTGTCGCAAGCTCATGTCAGGAGATAGCATGCAGAGTGCCCAGGTGATCTGTTGGATGCCAGACGCGATGTCGCAGGTCCATCGCTTCACTTGCATCCATGGCCTGTTGCATCTCGGAATCGATGTACTGTACACAGACATGGACACCTTCTGGCTCCGAGATCCCACCAATCGTATCCTGGCTTCAGCTGAAGGCTGGGATGCGCTTTTTGCCCGCCACGGGGATGCGGACTGCGTCAACATAGGCGTATTCTATCTCCGGGCCTCAGGGCGGACGGCCTTGTGGATGTCGCAGTTCATTGCATGGTACCATGATCACCCCTTCGAGATCGACCAGCGCGGGCTGCACGTCTTCTTGGGTCTCCCGACTCAGCGCATGAAGGTCGCCTTCTTGCCGGAGGACTTGGTGCAGATCCGGGGGTCGGTCTTGGAAGACCGAAATGAGGTGGTCATTGGGGATATCGGCTGGGCCGGCTTGCTGCCCAAGATGCTTATCTTTCACTGGTGCCACCGTCCGATCGAGCTGAAAGAGAAGGAGATCAATATAGCCTACGATGCCAACGAGGCTCTCCTGCATCACAACCTTCCTGTGTCCCTGGCCGTTTCGGTAATGGCGGGGGCCATGCCCCGTACTCCTTGGGCATATGCGTTCAAGTTTCGAGTGGTCTTGGACCAGTACATAAAGGAACTCTCAGACGAGCGGGAGGCTTGCTGGTAGGAAGAGCTTCCTGCCAAACATTCATGGGCTTCATGCAGACAGATCGCTCCAGCACGCCGGGATGGAGATCTCCGAGGTGTTGGCCATTTCGCAGTGTTTTTGCGCAGACGGCTCCTGAAGTTTGGCACTTGCCAGGCTGCCAGGCATGGTATCGTCTGGTCGCACAACCATCGAAAACCACGGGGACATGATCTACAGTTGGCCGAGCATCAGGAAGAGAGGATACAGCAACGGCGAGCCGCAAAGCACCGACCAGCCGGTGCGCAAGCTCTAAGCTCTCCCAGTATGCCTCCTCAAACACTGCCTGCTGGACCGCGAGTGATGGAAACCTAGTTTTGGAGCTTTCTCGTGCCTTCATAGCGGAGAACTGTAGACCATAAGTCAGGGACCCTAAATTCTTATCGTGACCCCATCTGGAACAGTCTCCAACTCCAGCAACACACCACCCCGTCTTCCGGGAAAAGGTCCTATCGGCTAGCACGAGGGCCATTTCCGTCGCTGGCATGTCAGTCCGACAGTTTTAGTTGGGACGTCCTGCGAATTTCGAGGCTCAAGGTCTTGGTAGAAATACTGCCACCAGATTTCTTGCAAATCCAGCCGCGCTCTCAGCGGGGCAGTCGTTAGACTTGTGCTGCAGGTACTTTTCTCATGCAAAGGGTCTTCTTCCCTGGGAGGAAAGGGAGAAGCCGAGGTCCATTCACATTGGCCCTTGACACATGCGGCCGGCCCCTCAAAGGTTGCACGCTGCATGTGAGCCGGGTCAGTTCCGGAAGTCAGGTCTGGCAGAGGGTTTCCTCGGTGTCTGCCAGACCATCCTGAGATCCTGAGCCCTGCACACAAAATCTTGAGATAGCTTGAGTGCTAGAATGTCTGATCCCACAAGCCCAAGTCCCAAGGTCTTAACCGACTGGACCCAAGATCCCAAAGAACAGAATGGGGGCGAGATCGGGTCTACATCCATCCGTTTTATCGAAGCAGCCATCTTTGCTTCGATAGTGATGATGGTGATGATGGTGATGGTGATAACGTGATGATACCGTATACCTGCACCAGTCATTGTTGCAGAGTCATGGGCGCAAAAGGCATTCTTGCGGCTTCATTTGTGGAGCTTGCGAAATGCAGGCCCCGGGCGCTTTTGCTGCTACTTCCGAGTGCAGTCGTGCGAGCCCCGGTTAGGTGTGGCTCTTCTCCAGGGTTTCTGTTTCGAAGAGCAGGCATTTGGGGTCTGGAGAGCATGCCATCGTGCTCTCTCAGCTTCTCTCTCTCTCTCTCTCTCTCTCTCTCTCTCTCTGTCTCTCTGTTTCCCACTCCCTTCTGCATCCCTGCACGCTGCACATAAGTGCGAGACGGGAGGGTGTGGCTTCCCCAGCTGGTGTCCAGTTCGGAGATTGAAGCCCCGAAAATTCCAAAGCTGGTTTTGGTCTCCTTCATCGTTTGAAGCAATGTGCCACCTGACTCCTAGGCATCCATCCCCAATCAATCCCTCAGGCCAGCGCAATCCACAGCGAGGTCTCCCACGATGGGCACGTAAGCCACAGCAAGGCCTGACCAAAGTCCTGAACGTCAGGAAAGTACACACATGATTCGGGGTTCTCTCCGGTTAAGGGGAGCATCCAAAGAAAGTTTGGCAAAGCTTCGGGAGGGTTTAGGGTTCGTCCCGGCAGCGCAAAAGAGACTTCCAGGAGTCGGAGAAGAGCTCGGACATGAGCAGCTCCGTGAATTCGGAGCACCAGGCAAGCCGGGAAGCTCACGTCGTTTGCTGTTAGTGCGTTGAAGTGCTTTGGTGCCCGTGAGCTTGTGCAAATGCCCCCTGCGACCGGAGACGCGGTAATGTTCAGCTTTATGAGTCTTATGAGTGAGAGAAAGCATTCCGCAGCCAGACGTTAGTAGCGAGTAGGTGCGACAACCACAGCAACGGGATCTGTTTTCCCAGTCATAAACTCCTCGCAGCACAAAGGCCCTTCGGATCCCAGTGGGAGCGCGAGCTGCAGGCTTAAAGCTACCATATTGGTATGACGAATGCAAAAGTGGTACGTGCAACAATCATGCCAATGGTTTGTGAGACCAAAGATGCCTGGCAGGGCGTGGCAGGTATCACTGTATCACTAGTACTTCAAGCCTCCTTAACAACTTGTCATTCTAGTCATTCTGCTCAGAATCGGCGTCGTTGTCGCCATCGTCGTAATTGTACTCGGACTCGCAGTCGTAGTAGCAGCAATCGCACGTAGTCGTAGTAGCCGTAGTAGCAATTCGTCGTCGTTGTCGTAGTAGTAGTCGTCGTCGCGGCGGTGGCGGTGGCGGCGGCGGCGGTCGTGGTGGCTATTACAGCTGTTAGATGGATAGATAGGTAGATGGATAGATGGAGGAGGAGGAGAAGAAGACGAGGAGCAGGAGGTGAGCAGGGAGCACACGGACGGGGATGATGAGGAGGAGGACGAGCAATGGTAAATCCGAATTTTTTGTAGGTGGTGATTGCTAAACTGTGCATGCATGTGCTGAAACCCGAGCAGGAGGGCCAATACCCGACCTTCGGCAGCAGCGGCTTTAGCAGTGGCGGCTTCGGCAACAGCTCCTTTGCTCTGCATTCATCGCCATTGGTGTCCGACGTCCGACTGCAGGGAGAAGTTAGACGAGAACGCATGTTGTTGGGCGGCGGCAGAAATGAGGGCACTTGGCTTTGTCACGTCCGTTCAGCCTTGGAGCTGTTGTACCTATCAGAAGCCATTTACATCGCAAGTTGACCGTGGTGAGGCTACGGCATGAACAGCATGGGCGGCGGAATGGGTGGTGGAATGGGCGGCTCCTACGGCAACGGCCCCCTGGCCCGAAGCTCCGAGGTTCAGGTTTAGGTCAGTTTAGGTGAGAGGGTCTCAGAGGGGTGCTGGCGTTCGACATGTCCAAGTGTCAAAAAGGATTCGTGTCTTTCAACACAGACAGATTGCAGTCTGCAAGGAGTTCGCCAGGCTCGCTGTTTCCTAGCCACTGCCCCTGAAGCTAGCTAGATGTAAGAGCCTGGCCATGCATGGCCCCAACGTCTGCATTCAAAAGCCTCGACATCCGAAAGCAAGAGCAGCTTCAAACAACTTTCCAAAATACCCGGAAAGCGTCTCCGGAAGGTTGCTTGAAGTATATTCAGATATTTGAGGAGGAATATGATGTCAGGCTTTCAGCGCATGGGAAGCGTGCGTCGTTTGTTTTCTAGCTGCTACAGTGTTTTACCGTATATCATAGTCTACGATAGTACGTTCTAGCACAATATAAGGAAGGTGATGGTATATGACATTATAGTCTATTGTAGTCTGTTATTTGCCGCTGTTTGGACTCTCGAGCTCTCCTGGAGATGCTGTCCCGAGTTTAAATGGGGTTTTTGGGGCATAGTATAGCATAGTTAGAGTACGAAGCAAGTCTTCAGACTCCCCCCGCCGAATTTTTCACGGTAAACATGAGCCGGCGAAGTCGCCTAACCCGATCTCTCTCTCGGCTCAGAGCCTCAGAGCTTGGTGAGGCTTCAACTCATACGGCTCTCCAGGGCCGCAGGGCTACGGCCAGCCAATGGTCCGCTCCGGAAATCCCATGACGCTTGGGCGAAGATGGAGGGCTTAGGGAGTTTAGGGTTTTAGGGTTCAGGCTTCAGGGTTCAGCGTCTGGGCTTTAGGGTCCAGCCTCGAAGTCTGCCTGAGCCTTCATGCTGTGCTATACTGTGCTATGGCATGTCTTATCAGAGTGTATCAGGTTACGCTGGTTGTACATGGTATTTTCATGTCATACCGAGATATGCTGAAACATGAGGTAGGGTGAGGTTGCATGTTGTAGGGTATTGCACATGCTGCAGCAGAGTAGTAGGCATGACTTCACACACAATCCTGCATGTAGGGGCATGCTTTATGTACTTGTATGTACAAGCGTCGTTGACGGCTTCTTGTCCGTTACGCCAGCAGCAAGAGAGGTGCTGTAATGGATGCATCAATCGAAAGTGTCGCTTGGTACAACATCACCCGGGTAGTAACAACACGGGGTGAACTTCAGCGGCACAGTCACTCGGAGGATGGCCCGCTCTGGACAGCCCCAATCCGGCTACGCCCCGACAGAGACAGAGATGCACATGCGCCTTGGCATGCAGGGCTCCCTGAGGAGTTTCAATTACTATACTATATTATGATTATGATTATTGTTATTAGTATTATTCTTTTTTATTAATATATTTCTTATTCTTAGCATTACTGTTGTTATTACTCCCGGGAGGCCACTGGGTGCGAATGTGGAGCTCCATTCTGACGACGGCGTGCTCTACTCATCGCGAAGGCGCGCGGAAAAGAAGCCGGAGGCCGGGACGAAGGTGCTTCGCTGGTGAGGGGCTCTTAGTGGCTTTAGGGTTTAGAGTTTAGGGGTTCTTGTGGTCAAGGCTGCCTGTCAGGGGGCTCTTCACGACTTCACGCAACGGATACTGATACATATATATATATATATAGAGATAGGCATGCTTGAATTTGGATCATGTAGCGAGGCATTGTGAGTTCTCATTCTTCGACAAGCCTCACTCCGCTTCACTGGACGCTATTCCTTGCGCATCCGGCCACTTTCACCAAGAAACTGTTTCTCAGGGCGCAAGAACTTACAAGCCGAATCTCAGCCGCCGCGTGACCTATGGAGGCAATACGTGTAATGACTGTTCAGGCGATGGTGTCATAGCTTGATCTATGGAGAACTATGGTGCGAGACGCGCCGCACTTTTAGTCATAGTCGTTCCGTCCTGTTGTGCATCAAAGGCCCAATGTTTGTCTGCTTGTGTTCCCGTCCCCGGCCAGCCATTAGCCAGAGGCTTCTTGCTTGACCTCCCTTCCCCAAGCCGTAAGCCCCAATGCCCAAACCCTAAGCACGTTGAGAAGGCTCGTCGTTTGGATCCGTGCCTGCCTGTGCGAGTGTGAGTGTCGAATCCCTAACCGAGAGCCCAAACCAGAACAGGACTACAATTACGATGACAACACGGTTCTGGGCATGGCGAACTACATCTACAAGGGCGATGCCAGTCTGGCCACTCTGAGCCACCTGGCGGCTTCTCCGACCACTCCCTAGCCCAGCACCACCCTCCTCCCCAAAAAAGGAACCCGTAAATTCCACACACTGGCTGGCCAAGATCCCGAAAAGCTACGCGCTACGCGATGCAAGCCGGAAACTGTCACCTTTACAGTCCTTGCCTTGTGTGAGCGCTGTCGGAAGCCTCGTCTCGCAGAACCCAGGCTGGCCTCTCGCTGCTGCCTCGGATTTAGGGCTTTCGGGTTTAGGGTTTAGGGCTCCTCGAACTCCGGGCGAAGTGGAAAGCCTGTTGCAAAAGGGCTCCTCGAATGGGGACCGGGCTGCTGTGTACGAGGCCTGCTGTAAAAGGGCTCCTCGAATTTCCAAACATGTTGGAGGGCTTGGTAAAGCAGGAACTTAAGGGATCACACAATTACAGAAGTGTAAGTTGGCCTTGGCCATACAGCAACTTTGGAGAAAGCATTCGGGGAAGTATGTATGTGATTTTTTGTCGCATCGAATAGTTCCAGGTTTTTTGAACTCTTTGCCTTAATCCTCTCAGGGATTTCGACATATGAGCTGGATGCTCGACCCTCTTATTCGTTCCTCCTTCGGTGGGGTTCTGATGGAGCATGTTCTTGCCTGCGGCACGGAGCTCATCAAACCATCACACAGTTTTGCGGTGAGGACAGGGCTCCAGTGAAGGGCTGCTACCCTGGATCCCCATCTAGCCATGCGCTGTGAACGTATAGATGAGACGTACATGTGTAGGTCTATGTATGTGTGTGTGTGTTATGTGTACATATATATATATGTATGTATGTATGTATATGTATATGTATATATATACATATATATGCATATATTTATATGTCTATGTATATATATATACACACACACATATATATATATATAATACACGCATACACATGTATACAGAGATAGAAACATGCATGGATATGTTTCTACACACATGCACATATATACAGATGCAGGCGTATATTACACTATATAGGGCCCTCGAGCCTTAAACTCTTCCCCAGGTCCTGGTGCTTGCAAGATTGCTGGCTGCCTGACGAAGCGGAGGCTTAGGGTTTTCGGGCTTCAGGTCTTAGTGGTATAGGAGGCCCCAGAAAGTTGGAAACCGGATTAAGGACAAATAGTGCTGGGATTCCCTATACATTACTCTTGAGGATTGAGGCTATTGGGTTTCCAACTTTTGGGCTTCTACTGTAGGGCTCTGCGGTATAATGAGGGTTCACGGGCACGACGTCTCTTCGTGCACGATGCGCACCGCTACTCTGTGCGCAATGTGCAGAATCTGTATCCGGAATCCATTGTTAGCATGATCATAGCATAAATACGTTGCTGAATGTATAGGCACCAGTAGGTGAATGCCAGGTTCCGAACATCCATGCCCATCTGGATACTTGTACATGCAGCGAGCGATCGAGAAAGGTATTCCCATGCAAGTATGCACTCACATCATCCACTTGTACCCTCTGTCCCTGTCAGTCTCGTTGTCTCTCTTTAGATCTACGTGCACACACATAATTGCACAGCCTACATCCAATCAAGGTTAATACACGTGGGCATCTACAAACACACTTTGTTTGCCCCCTCTCTTTCACTCTCAATTTCCGCGTATATAGCTACACTACATTTGTGACGCCCAGCATTGGGAAAGTCAGGGTAGGTGCCGGGAATTATGTTTATGAATATCTTATGGTTTTCTTA